TGGCTCAAAAGCGGTGTCGGAGCAAATGCTTGATTGCAAACAGCTATGTGCAACGGGATTCAGGCCTGGAAGAAAATATACTCGAGAGTGAAAGGAAGACACGGAAGAAAAAGAAGAAAGCAACATCACTGAATGAGGCCGAATCCAACGATGCTGAAATGCCCCGAGTGGAATCCCCACTTCTCTGGGGTCCGCACGACACCCTTTCGCCCCACGATGAAAGCTTCTCTGTACATGTCCCGATACGTCATCTTGTAATGCTGATACTTAGTCCGTATTGTCCCGATGACGATCACTCCCTGTTGGCCCTTGGGCCGCCGTGTACATTGATCGGTAACTATATGTACCGTGCTTTCCGATACATCTCCTGGGGTCGCATTCCCGTATATGACGCAAGAGGGAATGGGTGGATAGGACTTGTCGTCGAAGCAATGGCTGACTGAACTTGGGCGGACCAAGTCCTCGCGCATTATGCGCGCGGCACTTGCAATGCTCGTGCCGTGTCCGGCGGTGTAGATGTATGTTTCCCCTGGTGGGTCGGTGGCACGAGTGCCGAATGCTCTGCGAGTCTCTCCAGCCCACGGGATGAATAACATAGTATGTACGCCGTCCGATATTGGCGTCAGCGTTGCCCCCAGTTCGTTGCACGCTGATCGCGTGCCCGACTGTAGCACGGCATGTGCAAATTCGGCTAAAGTCTCCTGCCTGAAATCGCTGTCAGCAGCTATCTCGCCCAAGGTTTTGGCGAGTTTATGTGCTTCTTCCATGTCGACAGCGTGGGGGGTCGGCTTTTCATGATCGTAAAGCTCAGAGAAAGGCGCCACATCAATCTGTGGTGGTCTGCTCTGTTTGCCCAGTTGTTCGAGGGTTGGCTGACCCGATGGGGCAGCAGTTGTGGATGCATCAAAAATCGGGGCAGGTGTCCGAATAGAGCTGGAGGGATTGTGCTGAACCTGTTGGCGAGAGGGTGTGCCCTGGCCTGTTGGGGGCTGCTGTTGTGCTGCTTGGCTGCCCTTGATGCGAAGGGCGATTCGCTGAACCTGCGAGGCCAATGTCCTTTGTGGGACCTTGGGTGGGGTAGGTGGCCTCTGACGTGGCTGTGTGGCTCTGTAATGCCACTTGTTGGCATCATCATCACGCACTGTAGAATAGCTACGGAGCACAACCGAGGTCCGCGGAGGTGTCGACGAAGATTGTCTGGTGTCCCTGCGAGAACGACTTCTGCGAGTGTCGCGGGATCGGTGGTGTCTGCGTCGGTGGTGGTGTCTCCCGCTGCTTGCCGGTCGTGCTCTGCTGCGTGTGCGACGTCGGCGCCTAGTGCTCACGGTGCGAGTTCTGCTGCGTGTGGGTGAGCGCCGTCGCCTGCGTGGCAACGGAGGATGGTGGGGAGAAGTACGTGCTGCAAACTGGTCGGTGTCTGCCGATCCCGTAGCCGGGGGTGGTTGTGTGGGTGGCAATGTGCTGACGGAGGGGGTGTTGGCTGTGTTTGTTGGTTGTTGTTGGGGAGTCATTGCCGGTGTCTGCGGGGCAATGTGTGTGGCATCGGTAGTGGGAACACTGGTGGGGTGAAGTTGTGAAGCTTGTTGGAGTGTTGTTGGCGGCGGTATGTGGGGTTGTTGAGCGGGTTGTGTGGAAGGGATGTTGCAAGGTGCAGGTTGGGGTTGTGGAGCAGGTGGTGTAAAAGGAAGGTTGTATGTGGTAGGCTGGGGCTGATGCGGTGTCAGAGTTGATGGGCTCGTGGGAAAAACTGTTGGATGGGTAGGCAATAGAGCAGGGTTCAGGAAAGTGGGGGGGTGTTGTGACATGAATTGCTGGGGTGGAGGTTGTTGTGGCATCTGGGGTTGTGGTGTGCTGAGATGTGTATATACCGTCGGATGCTGTGGAATAGGAGCAGTGTGTCCACACGGCATCATGGGGAAGCTGTGCGTCTGCTCAACAGGAATCGTAGTGGGTTGTGTCGGCAGTGTGGGCTGCTGAGTGGCAGCAATGCCAGTTGGCATCATTGCTGGGTAGCTTTGTGACTGCGGTACCCAGGTGTTCGGGTGAAATTGATTCAGCACCGGTCGGGCTGTTGGTGCATATGGTGTTGCTGGTGGCTGCGCGGCAAAATAATCCGGCCACATAGCTGCAACGAAGTGGGTGAAACAAACACAGTTGCACAAGCAAAGTGCAGGCTGTCCTGGTTGTCCCTGCTGGACTGATTTGAGAGGTCGTAGACGGAGAGAAGGAAGAGGGCCGAGTACTCTCCGAAGAGAGCGCTGTTTCACTTGCTGTAGACACTGTTACCGCGTCTGCACTCATGTCAGATGCACATGCCCTTGCGGTCCCTGAGGAATAAAGAAGCGGTAGAATAGAGGGCAGACTAGCGAGGTAGCACCTGCTCACTAGACGCACTTTACTGCATTAGCCGTCCCTTACTGCACCTGCACTCATGTCAGACTCACATGCGAGCATCAGAGAGAGAGAGATAAAGTAGCATCGGGAGATTCTGAACGATCTGAACGAAGGCTGAACACCCGGTTCATCACCGGTCTCCCCGGAGGGTCACCACGGCGCCATGACGGAAAGCCGTTGCTCTGGAGTCTCAACGACCCACGCTGATCACACTGATGGATTCGGCCAAGAGTACGAGTGCAAGAGGAAAAGAGAGAGGCATGTTGTTCATGTTGCAAAGTTTTGTCAGATTGTGGCAACCGTACAACTTGTTTGTCTAATCTGGACACCACAGGGGGCCTGTCCTCAAAACTAATCTTGGCACCACAGGGGGCTGCCATGCAGGTACACAGGACTGATCAGGTCCCGCTTCCCACTTGCATCCACAGCTTCGTTGAGTGTGGTAGGACGCAAGTGCCACACTCCCCTGCAACAGTTGATTTGGTAAATGTCCAATGCCGGATTATGTTGAAAAGCGAAATTGCAAACAGTGTAGGAGTGACCCTCTGCTCCCATGTGCTAGGGAGGTTCACACGCACACACACACACACACACACACACACACACACACACACACACACACACAGAGACATAGACCAAGATGTAGCCACGGCAATCACGCGCTTTCTGCACCTACCTATACATACACGCGTGCATACATACATACATATTCACCACAGAGCTACATACATAATTATGTATTTGTATATATTTCTATATGTATGCCAACTCAGTCATCACTGGTCGATGCTCAAGGTTCTTGTGCCCATCTTCCTTCGCCGCATGCTCCGCGAGCTTGAGCAGGCTTCCACACGTCACGAGACCTCGAGCAATAGGTGTGTTTGAATATTTTTTCTCAAGATTCTAACAAGATCCTTTTCAGGCCAATTGTAGACAAGCTCCCACATTGGCGAAGTCCGAGTAAATCAAGGCTCCAAACCGAGAAATCTTGAGCCCCAAAACTCACTGCGACCTTGACTTCTAGTATGTAAGAGCCAGCTCAAGAAGCAAAGCTGACAGGGCACTGGCTCGCCTCAGTCGCTAACACCCTGGGCCGCGGCATACTCGCTTTGCTGGGCTTGGAGCTCGGGGGAGGGAGCTCCGGTCTCTCCGAAACCTCGGGAGTTTTCGAGCCCACCCCCTAAAGCCATATGGGGTTTTCCGAAAATTAGGGATACCTCATTTTGGGGTCCTAAAAATAAGGATCCGACTATTTAGGGTACTATATTAGCGTCCCTTGAAACTCCCATATGACGGAGTCCCTTTGCGACTCAAGGTTCATTCCGTCGATGCCGGGTTCTGAAGATGGGTCAGGATTGAACTTCGGGTTTCGGGGTTCTTGGAGGCAGGGGCGGAGGGGCGGAGGGGCCCTTGCTGGTAGGTGACGGTAGCTTGGTAAAGTGTGTGAAGAGCATGTGTGGCCGTGTTTGCGGCCTGATGTTTACTTTCAGTGGGCCACCGATTTGTTTCTAGCGGTTTTCAGAAGTTTTCTAAGGGATGTTTTCAGGCTCAAAGCGACTCCGCTGGATTGGCGCTGTGCTCTGTACTGTGCAGTAGCCGCTCACTGTCGTGGAATGCGACGGTGGCGCTGATGATGATGACGACAGTGGTCAGGGACCTTTTGATGATGATTACTTTGCACAGTCTTGCTAAACCTCTTCGTGGCGCAGTGCGGGTCGGGGCTCAGCCAGGGAGAGGATCGGGGAAGAGAGTGCGAAGAGCGCTCGGCCACGTGCTGTCGCCATGGCGAGCAAGGAAGAGGACATCCAGATGATGCCCCTGGGTTTCGAAGTTAGGAGGGCTTCGAGGTAGAGTTCAGTGGAGCTGAAGGTGTTTTGGTTGGGTGAACGAGGGTGTTGCAAGATGTTGCAAGACAGTTCTTATTTGATCATTGGGGGCATCGAGATCGTGCAATAAAAGCTGAGGAAACCAGCCTCTTCCTTCTGTGCTTTCGCCCCAGCATTTTAAGACGATGCAGGCCCCCAGAACCAACCTTGTCGCTGGTTTCATCGTGGCTCCCTCGCACGGGCTCCGCCCTCCAGGGTTTGCTTGCGAGTTCGTCCAGCGCTTTGGAACAGACGGATACAGACGGTGGGTAGCCAGTTCCCTCCGCGGCGGTGCGAGCCCACCCGTCTTGAGTGGGCCCCAAAGTAACCATACATGTGTCTTCTTTCAGTCATGCTGACATGAGGCAATTCACACTACAAGGTTTTCATCCCGAATCACTGATGTTTGTGGCTAAGGGTTCTCTATGTTCAAGAATCCAGGAACCCTACACGGGAGCTCGCTCGGAAGCCTCCCCCAGAGATTCCAGGCTGGTTTGCAAGACTCACCTCGGCACGCGTAGCTTGGCCGCCAGAAGAGAGGGTCTTACGTCCACTCTTCATCCTACAAGCTTGCAGAATCAGAAAGTTTGGCAGGGGCCGGGCTTCCAGCAATCTTCGGCTAAAGCCGACTTTGCAACAAGTGAGGCTAACTTTATGGCTTCTCCTGCGATTCGTGCTGGTGCGAGTGTATTCCTGAAGCTGGCAAAGAGCTTTTTGCAGTTAGGTAACGTGGACTACCGCATGAAGCGGTACATCTTCCGTCGAACTGTGGAGGGGATCCACATCATCCAGCTCGGAAAGACCTGGGAGCCACGCGACTTTGTCAGCTAGGTTCAGGCTCGGAGGCATTCATCCCCCATTACTTAAACATCGTACGTGCCTTCCCTGAGAGTGCGAGTGTGAGCTCCAAGAGCAAAACCCGGATTGAGGGGTCGACGTAGCCCTGGAACATGAGGTTTGCGACTACGGGCCGCTACCGCTAGTAAGTTTGTCACTACTCGTATTGCTCGAGCACTACTACGGCGAGAACCTCGCCCTTCCATTACTTCTGCTACTTCTTGCTATCACTACCACCGCCACGACTAAAGATCGGAAGTGCCCAGCTGCGCTTGGGTGCTGGCCACGTCTGACGAGATGGGAGTTTCCGAAAATTAGGGGTACCGTAGTTTGGGGGTCCCAATAAGGATCCTACTATTTGGGGTACTATCTTAGGGTCCCCTTCTTTCCGAAACTCACAAATAGCTGGTGCCCCGGAGTCGGTCCCGGAGTTCCTAGGGTTTTTTTCCAGTGGAGCCCTGAGAGCTTGAGCCTTTGCTAGTGGAGTGGGAGGTGCTGTTCTTCCGCCTCAGAGCAAGGAGGTAAGTAGACCCCGTGCAAGTACAACACCCCGAACTGTTATCATACTCATGATGTTTATTGTTGTTACTACGTAGTACCACTATCAGAGCAGGAATGCCTATGCGAGGGTGTAACCCTAAAAGCTCCGAACCATGGAACCCCAAAGTGACCTTCCAACCCCCTATAAGACCCTGAGACAGACTCAACCCTGAACCCCAAAGCCCTGCTTCGTGTACTCAGCCATGCAGGAGGCACAAAAATAAGCCCTAAACCCTTTCCAGTGTTTCACGCCGACCTCGCACCGAGAACCTCGCCTGGCATGTCCGAGTTGTGAGAGCGTAAACCCCTTTAGGGCTTCAGCTTTACTGCAGACCCCGGGGGGGCCTCCCATGTGAGGAAGATCCAAGTGGCTGCGAGAAGCTTGGCTGCAAGCTCTTTGAGGTTTCTACGGATCAGGACGCTACGCCTAGGATTCTTCATGGGTACCCGGCAGGTGCATGAAGGCTTTTAGGTTTTTAGTTTACGGTGAGGGGCCTTAGACTCTTTAGAGTTTAGGTTTAAGCTTTCTAGGGTTCTTCAGAAGGGATGTGCCTTGTCGGGTTCAGGGCTTACATAGAAATTTCACGTCTATGCTCGGAAGAGAGGGAAGGACTTGTGTCTGACATGCTGCGGTCAGGAATTATTGTGGCCATCGAGAACCCGCTTGACATCATTGTAACCTGGCCAGGGAAGGATAGTGAACTTCATGCTTGTCTAGGTCTAAAGGCTTTGAATGCGCAAGGTAAGATCGAAAGCTTCGGTTCCGAAACTTCTGTTTGGTACTGAAGACTTACTGCTCGGTTCTGGGTACATCGGCGCTTTGCACTGCCTCGATGAAAGAGGGAATCGAGAGCTCCGAATCCACTGCCCATGCAGACAGCACAGGTCCAGCTCTCTCGTTGGAGGTGAATCTCAAAATGTTGATGTTTCCGGTTTCCGAAGAATGCAGGAGCCGAGCTCGTATGTAACGTGATATGTGAAGCTTCGGATTCAGACCAGCTTTGCGGAGCTGCTCGTTTCCGCCAATGCCCAGGTCGCCTCACAGCGACCATACGGTTCCCGCGCCGTGCTGAAGTTTAGTATCCAGGAAGCATAGACAAGGGGCGGCTTTAGCATATCAAACCTTTAAGGATTGGTAGGGTTCAGGGTAGTCTGAGTTGCAAACATCCTTTCTTGCAGTCCCCGGCGCATGGCTATGGCGATAGTCTGCATGTGGGATCATTGCCACGACCCTCGCAACCCGACTCCAACGGCTGAACCAAAACCTCCAGAGACTTACAGACCCGCAGGCCCCTACTTGGAGGTTCATGGGTAGTTATAAGTAGGGTTATAAGTCCCCCAATATGAGTTATAAGTATAGTTACCCTACTCATAACCCCACTTATAGCTACCCATGAACCTCCAAGTAGTGTAGGAGGGTTTGCATACGTGGTGTGCGGCTTTAGGGTGCATCGTTGACGCAGACTGAATGGTCGTGTTTGGTTGCGACACTTCGATGTGGAAGGAAGTTAAATTGCCTCGTAGATCGCTCGCTTGGATTCACGAGCCCAAAACCAGAAGTAAGCTTCTTAGTAGCCCTTATTCAATATCTTTTCTGGATCCTATTATTTCTGGGATTTTTCAAGCCGGGGAGTGTGGATCGGTTGCCTTTCAAGTCCTGACTTAGGGGTACTTAGATTTTTTATTTTTGGTTATTACAATCCCTAAGAAACAGCTGAAATTGTAATTTTAGCTAGGGTTATCTAGGGTTCTAAGTTCAGTATAGTGAGGTCAATACACTGGTGCGAACCCCTTGGCCGGCAGATGGACACCAGGCTCGGGCGCGGGGGCTGCTGGGGCAGAGGGCTCTTTTCCTAAAGTCGCTATTTGCGTGTCTCCAATGCGTCGATGTTCAATGTTTTTAAATGCCTCGAAATCAGTTGTAACTGTAATGATTAGTAATGTTGCACACGTCGTTCTTGATCATAGTCTCTCCTAGTGTGTGGGTCCTTGAAACTCGAACATTGTCCTTCGCCTCAAGTCGATGTGGGCCTTGGCAACATTGTCCGAGCTTGAGGGCCCAGAATGGTTCGTCTGGGCGTCTATTTAGCTTGGTGGCTTTCGAAGCCCTAGGAAGGAAAGCAAGCACACGCACCGAAGAAGCAATGTGCAGCTCAAACTTATTGGCTTTATGGTGAAGGCATCGAGTCAAGTTTAAATTGAGATCTGTTGCTCTGAGCCCGAAAGCTTGCGAAAGAAGCCTGACATGCCTTTTGGTTTCGTGCCCCAGCCTCGGTTTTATGCTTCTGTTGCTTCTGTCCATTCGGCTCAGCTCCAGGGGAAGGAATTGCAGCCGACCGGGGCGTGTCTGTTCCAGCACCCGGTAGAACGATATTACAGCATGAACATATCGTGCTACAGTCTGCTACAGTTCGGTGTCGGTGTGTGTGTGTGTGTGTGTGCATATATATATATATATATATATATATATGTATGTATGTGTGTGTGTGTGTGCGTATACATACATGTATCTATGCATGTACCTCTATACCTATACCCGTACACTTATACCTATACCTATACATGTGCTTATTCATTTGTGCGGTATGTAAGTGTGCATGCATACATGCATGCATGTATGTACGTATGTACATACGTATATATATATATATATATATATATATATATATATGTATATATAAGTAAACATGTATGTATGCATGCATCATGCGGACACATCCATTTTCATTAAAAAAAGTTCATATCATATGCGCATGCAGGTTGCGATCTCGGCATGCGTGCACAAAGTGTGCACGCGTTCGCATTGAGACTTATGCAGATGTGTTCTTATGAAGCCTTACATATGACACACTTACACATGCAGGTGCAAATTATATACATATATGAGGACAAATACATACATAAATATGTATAAACCTGTATATATATATATGCACACATAATCCCTTCCCCCTAATATTAAACGCCTCCCCCCCCCCTAATATAAAAACTGGAATTCGGAGGTTTAGTTTTTATATTAGGGGGGGTTTCGGGTCCGGCGGGTATGAGTCGGACTGACAGGAATTATAATGAGGCAGCCAGGCAGTCAGACAGTCCCTGAAGCCCTCAACCCTAAAGCTTAATTACAGTCAGACAGTCAGACAAGTCAACAGCGAGCAATTCCTGCGCAGCCGTTCCGGCTGTAGACAGACCAGAGCACAGCCAGCCTGCCTCGTTTGGAGCCCTAAAGCTTTAGCCCTGAGCCCTAAACCCTTAAACCCTAAAGCTCTCGTGTCTCTTTAATTCGTACTGCTGTAATTAATCTTTGCCTCTATAATTAAAGCCCTGAGCCCTAAACCCTTAAACCCTAAAGCTCTGGTGTCTTTAGTACTACGGTAGTCTTCCTTCAATTAAAACACATACAGATCTGCCACCCCCCCTAATGTTGCCCCCTTTAAATTGAATGTGGGGCCCGAACGAGAGAAATTCCGGGGGCCGGCAGTTTTTATATTAGGGGGGGGATTAATGTCAGGGGGAAGGGATTACACGCGCACACATACACATGCATGCGCATAGGTATGTGTGTGTGTGTGTGTGTGTGTATGCGCAAAGATTTATTCACACACACATATATACATACATATACATATACATATATATATATATATATATATATACAGATACACATACACTCGCACGGCAAGCTGGTATTGGTTGTTGGATGGCAATCTCGAAGTAATCTTTATTGCTTGCACCTGCTGCCACCGATGCCCAGGTACTCTCACGAACCAGATCACGCAGAAGTATTTGGAGCCTAGGCTTCTCATCGTGACGGACCCCCGCACGGACAACCAGGTGACAGGGCGCAGTTTGGGTTGGAAGGTCAGGGCTTCGCCCACATGGAAGTCGCCCTGTGTATATATATATATACATATTTACATGCATACATACATACACACATGTAGTACATGCGTAATTATGTATGCGCGTAATTATGTATGTATGTATGTATGTATGTATGTATGAGGACCCTGGTACGTAGTTTGCAATGCAAGCTTTCTTGAGTTTCGGGCATGTCAAGGAGGGACCCTTCGGAACACACTAACTAACTGTCTGTCTGATTGTTTTGCTGCGATTTTGGGGAAGCAGCCACAGATGCTTGTGCATGTAGGCTCCAAGCGTAGTGCTCCCGGTAGCTCGGGCTCGCTGCTAAGGTTTGCCTGCCTAGCTTTTGCTTCCTAAAACCCGGAAACCCTAAACCTTATAGGAACGGCTATAGGAACCCTTAAAGGAGCCTTGTTCCGTTCAGCCGACCGTCCACCATTCCACTGCTCGTGTCGACTCCCCTTGAAGTTTCGTGGAAGACAGGCCATCAAAGAAGCCGCTTATGCCAGCATCCCGGTGATTGCGCTGTGCGACACCGACTCTCCGCTGGACAACGTGGATGTAGCGATCCCTGCCAACAACAAGGCCGGACCGAACGCCGCAGGACCTAAACCGACTCAGCGTACACGAGGTGCGGTGCTCACTTTGTTTCCCAGTTTTTGGACCAGGGCTTGTGAACGCCCCTCCTTTCACTAACGCTGCAGGGTAAGGAGTCCATCGCGCTGCTCTACTGGATGCTGGCAAGGGAGGTGCAGCTTCCTGGTCCGAAAATTCGCCCTCGATGTTCGTTCGTTGTGTTGTTACGGTTGCGATGCTGCACATGGTTTCAGCGGGGTATATAGTTGACCCCAGTGGCTCTATGCAATATATTCCTGTACCTCACGACAACACAAAGTGTCTGTCAGCGTGGCCGTTGCGGTATGCTGACATCGATTCTAGCCAAAGGGCTCAGTGGACCGAAGGGAGAAGGGGTGAGCCAACTATTCGTTAAAGGGAGACCTTGTTTGAAGATCCTTGTCATACGGAGCCTGCTGTGTAAAGGGCCTATCTAGGGATCCCTCCTTCCATAAAACTTACCTTCCGAAACCTTGTTCCACCCTCACGAAGCCTCAAGGCTTCGAGAGTTTGTGCCCAGTGCAGACAAAATTACATCCAGAACAAAAGCATTCTCGGAAATGCCAATGCCAGTGCCGATGGCAACACAAGCACAGCAATTGAAGCAATTAGGAAAGCAACGAAAAGGCAGCAATGTCAACGTAGACCACAACGGTAGAAGCAGAAAGCAGCCACTCGGAAGCGCGAAGCAAGCTGCAACAGTACGACATGCCGACCAACAAGCATCAAAACCTTGAAACAGGCCCTAGATGTTTTCGGAGCTTTCATTTGTCGAAGGCAGAGTAGGCGAGTGCATGAAACGGGCGTTTGGAGTGGAGGATTGGTTGAAAGTGGAAGATCCGGTGCCATGGCCCTTGCGTATCCGGCAGGGTCGTGTCCTTAGCTGTCTAGTTGGAGGTCTGTGTCGTTGTCTGCTGCATCACTGAAAAACCGAATTACGTCGCGACCGTAGCATCTGAGACCTGCACCCGAGACCTGGAATGAAAAGCCTTGTGATTGCAGGACAAGCTGTCCAACTACCAGCCAAGCCACACCGCAAGCCAAGCCAAGCCAAGCCTTGTGCGGGCTGGTTTCGCCGAAGCCATCGATGTTTCCAAGTTGTTTCGTGTACACATGTCGACTCCTGTGTAATCGTAATCCTGCAGCCTGTGGCCCGGTGGGGAGCCCAGGTACCTCCGTGGCCGCATTCCTCGAAATCAGCCTTGGGACGTCATGGTCGACTCTTTCTTCTGGAGGGATCCAGAGGCCATGCTTTTTTGGGGTGAGTCGCTTCAGTGTACGCCAGAGGCAGGGCACTCTTTCTGTTTCAGGGGAACCGGAAGTGAGCGGGAAGTGGCGACGCGCCCAGGGAAATTGTGGTGTCGGGACAGTGACAAGTCACCTCGTAAACGCAAAAGCTGCCTATGGCAGAACCCAGCAAGGGAAAACGGGCTCCATCGTCCCACCGAACTCCAGGATGCCTTGTGGCGGGTTGGCGTCGGGACTTCACTTGAACAATTTGGAGATGTGGCGACGTAGCGACGGCCACAGCAGATTTGTGAAATACCCGCAAACGAGCAGTTGGCGCAAGCATTTTGAGGTCTGTGTCCTGAGGGTTGCGGGGCATCTCAACCTTCTGAACAGTGAGGAACCACCCAATCGAGGCAAGACACAAGCCAGGACACTGTCAGAGATTGGGATCCTGCTCGACAGGATTTCTATGAAGCTGCATTTTCAGCTGCTCGCCCCGCTTCTCTAGTCACTCTAGTCTAGCTTCTTGTGAGGAGGTGATGCAGGACGACGAGCCCGAGCATCACATGTCCGTGTCTCAGAACTACGGCCCCCAGCAGGATCGGAGGGGATGTGAGAGACGGGAAACTCCAGGCTCGAGCTACACGCAAAGTATCGGAGAGATCCTTATGTAGATCCTTTACAGCCGATGTTAGAAGCATCTTGCATTTTAGAATTCCTTTCAGGCTGCATCTCGGATCCCGCGTTTCCGCACCAGATGCTACTACAAGTTCGTAGCCCAACGGCATGGATAGAGCAACTAGTTTTCTCAACTTAGACCGAAATACTGTCCCAAATAGTAGGATGCTTTATTATGACAAGACACCTCAACGGGTACCCCGATAGAAACCCGTATTTCACCGTAGCCCCTAAAGACCAAGATCAGCAGGAGTGGGCACCTCCGGCTGCCTGGGAAGGTGCTGGTGGTGGTGGCATCTTTCTCACATATTAGTAAAGGAGCCTTGATATGTACCTACATGATTTTGGGGGTTCCTTACTATAATCATAGTATAATAATGGACCCCAAAGCCCTATTCTAATTATTGAGGCCCCTGTTTTAGAGGGAACGGCTCAGGAGAGGAAAGATTTTCAGGCGGAGACAGAAGGAGAGGAGGAGTCCTCTGCGTCTTTTTCTTTGCTTGAGGCTTTGTTTCAGTGTTCTTATTGGGGGAAGTCATCACCTTATGTGCAGCTTGTTTCTCTAAGACACATACTGATACATATACATACGCACACGCACACAGACGCAGAGAGAGACAAACAAACACCCACACACACTCTCACACTCCTCCTTCGCTCAGTCGCTCACTATCCCCTCGCTCTCTTTCTCTTTCTCTTTCTCTTTCTCTTTCTCTTTCTCTCTCTCTCTCTCTCTCTCTCTCTCTCGCTCTCGCTCTCGCTCTCGCTCTCGCTCTCGCTCTCGCTCTCGCTCTCTCTCTCTCTCTCTCTCGGCTCTCCCTTTCTGCTTCGCCTGAATTCTGATGATTCCGACTCTTGTCGACGAGGGTTCCAAATTCCAACCGCAAACGCGCGCACACTCATGCACACAGCCTCTCTATCCATCCTGTCGCACTGCTCTCCTATTCTATTTGTTCGAGCTGATCTGTCTTTCTCTGTCTATAGTAGAAGCCAGAAAGTTGGAATGTGGCTTGAGGAGGATTAGTGCACCTTCAGGGCATGAGGATAATGATGTTCCAACTTTCTAGCTTCTACTTCTACTGTATATATGTATGTATATATATATATATATAAATATCTACACCTACCGACCGATGATCTATCTGGCTGGGTGACAGTCAGCTAGCGAACCATCTGCCCAACTGCCTTCCTACCTATACGTCTGTCTTTCTTTCCGTCCATCTCTTTCCATTGATCACCATCCACCCACCCACCTACTTAGCTACCCACCCATTTATGGATCTGTCTATCCATGGCATCTGTGCATTTGGGCTTTCGAGGATCCTTTCCGGTATCTTTATATGTGTGTGTATATATATATATATGTATATATATATATATATATATATATATATATATATATATATATTGACACATGTATTATATGATATATGAAAATGTATATAAATAGACCATATATAATATAATATAACATAATATAATATAATTTAATTTAATTTAATTTAACTTAATATATATATATATATATATATATATATGTATTTTTCGCTCGCTCGCTTTTTGTTTATCTCTTTCACTCTCACTCTCTCTCACACAGACGCGCACGCGCGCTTGACAGCATCACAACAGAAGGCAATTGGGACGACATGACTCGCGATGCTGCAGCCTGGAATGCACCGGCGGCGGGAGGCGGCGCCCTCGGAGTCGACTTTGAGCATCGAGACGACATGAGGGTCAATCTGGAGGAACTTCTGAAGCACGCGCGCTGGTGTTTCGTGAGTATCCAACAGTGCGTTACTGACATGACCCTGTCTGTTCTTCCGTCACGTGTGGCACATTACCATGCTCAGTCGCCAACAGACCGTGCCCAGCACCCTGGCCGCTAACAATGGAGGCAATCCAGATGACTGGGGCGCACCAGCGGCCCAAAACCAGAGCAGTTGGTGAGCTGGTTGTGAGAGGCAGAAAGAAAGGGATGCTGTGTGATTGTAAGTAAAGCTGCTGGTTGACTGCCTTAGGATTGGACATGCTTGGACTGTACTGTGGTACTGTCTTGGTTACCCGGGCTAGAAGGATGGTTGGTTTAGGTCATCAGGCTCATGCAAAAGGTCATCAGGCTCGTCTAGGGGTAAGCGTCATCAGTATCAGGACTATCACTTCTAGCGTATGTGTTTCTTTTGCTGCTGCCACTGCCCTTGTGACTGCGCCTGCTGCTGCCTCTGCCATTGCTCCCGGTAGGCCCCGATACTGCTGCTGCTACTACTGCTACTGCTGCTGCTGCCACTATCACGACGACGACAATTCTGCTACCACTACCACTGCTACTTGCTTGTACTTGTTGTAAGAAGACAACTACGGCCACAGTCAGGACGACTAATTTACTTCACCGAGTGACCGCGGACTCAAACTGGGAATTGCTCACTAGCAAGGGCCAACAGGATTGATGCTGTACGATGGGAGTTTCATTTCCGCACGATATTTCGGTACAAACACCAACCCGCTCAGACCGAGGAGAACAGAGTAGCGGCATGGCAGTATTTCTGGGTTCGCAGAGTGCTGTGGGCACAACTTGTCCTGCTGCCGATCGGTCAGCCGGATGTGATGTAGGACTAGGCTGTCTCGTTCTTAGTAGGGAATGGGGGAATGGATTATGGAAATTATTACTGGGGAATATATAGGGACTGTCATAGGGATCCATTCCCCCCTTCCTTACTGAAGAACCAGGGACTAGGAGCCGTCTCAATGATTTCAAAGTAGATCTCCAGTTTTGGGGGAACCACCGGGACATGAGCCATCTCGCCGCAGTGGTTTGAGCCGAGCGATGCATTTCTGTTAGTCAGGCCTTAAGGACTTGAAGGACTGTCTTAAAAGATTTCCAGGATTTGGGAAAGTGGACCCTCCAGCAAGCCGTGTGCCCCCACTTGCTCGTCTCCGTCTTGATGCCAAGCAGAAGCTTGATTTTCAATACCTACCTCCCTGCTTCGTGTACTCAGCCATGCAGGCAAAAAATCTCCAGACTTCAAGCAGATGCATGAGCCCTCAAGCTTGAAGCCCTAACACTGACACTTCCCACATTTCAAGAACGGAGAAGACAGAGACCGCCCGGTTTCCTGCAACCCATGTGGCACTTCTTGGAATTAGGTACCCTTTCTACGAAATACTTCTGACTTCTAAACTCTTTTGAAGCACGGACTTGCAGGGTATGCCGGCAGCGAAGCTTCATGGCAGAGCCTTCCTCAGTCACTTTTTGAGTCTAAACTCTAAACCCTAAACCCGTAACTGAAGCATAGATTGTTCGTGTCAACCGGTGCCTCCGTGGACCTCCTCTTGCAGTGGAAACACTGCACCTCTCCGCTCAATGAGCCTCGGTTTGGACCCGAGCAGTGCCGGAGAAAGGGCTGCGTCCGAGTGCCGAGTGCTGCTTAGACTTGAGGCCGCTGGTTCCGCGTAAATTTAAATCCAGGGACCCTTATGATCAGTAGTATAGTATGGTATAATAAACCTCAAAACTCCAAAACCCTATTCTAATTATTGAGGCCCTTAAATTTCTTTTGATCTAGGGACTGGTTACTTCATATCAAGAGCAGCAGAGCCCAAGCCGCTAGAACCGGTCGCCTCGCAGCAGTGGAGGGATAAGGAAGTGTGCTTTAAAGTCGCTGCATACTTATCTACAGATATGTCCACGCATGTATGACTGCTGCATGTGTTTGTTTGCTTGTGCATGCCATTGTACATGTTTCTATGGATGCATTCGAAGTTGAGCGAGCCAATCCCCAACTTGGTTCACTAAATTGGGTTTACGGCTTCAGCCCGAATGCAAAGAAATCGCATGACATCAAGGAATAACAAGTAACCGGCATTCGATTCTAGTGGTGCATACTTCGTGTGAAGGTTTTGCACACCGGTTTGTTCTGGGTTTTCTTCGCTTTGGAGGGCCTTCCTGCAGTATCCGCCTTAGCATGAGTGTGAGTATTGGTAGTCAGGTTTATTGCTATTCTCTTTCTGGTTATTCTTCTTCTTAATAGTGGTAGTAGCGGTAGGAGTTGTCGTGGTCGTCATGGTACGCAGAGGAGAAAGAGTTAACCCACAGTGGACAGGGAACCCCAACCTGGACCTCTTACCTATATATAGAATCCCTTATACTACCCCTTCTAGCACCCTAAAAGGGTTAAAGGTCACCTGATCCGATGCTTCGTTCTGCAGTTGGTGCGACTCGAGATCTCCTTGAGAAGGGCTTGACTTTGCTAGCCGGCATCCCCACAATGCCCCAGTGACTCCAGTGTGCAATGCGCTTTCAGCCTTTCAGTGCCTCGACCCTACTACAGCGAGATTGGGCATCCTTACAGAAACGATTGCATCAAAAAATTGTGTTTATAAAAAATCAATTCACAACCGGGGTTCAAAACAAAGCAAGTCACAAGCTGGCAAAAGGTCGCCGTCGCGATTGGTGTCGGGACCTCGCAATTCCAGGCCGGCCCAAACTCCTTTCCATGGCACGAAATAATAGCGGGACTTAAATAATTACCTAGACTGTTTTCGGGGCTTCCTCATTATAATACTTATCTTATATTGAGCACCATCGGCATTATCACTCTCAGCGCCAACATCACTTCCAGAATCAGCAGCTTTACCACCATCATCGGCATAATCGTCAACAACTTCCTCCAAGAAGCTAGCTGAGAGTTCGAAAACACGCGGCTCAGGGCCACACCGCTGGGCTTACCATGCGGATTGGCATTCAGCGGCACTTCCCTCAGATGCCTGTAAGAGCTCACATCCTGCTTGGTGCTCACAGCTTAGCCACTCGAGTCGTGTGATACGCATGCGCAGGACTGATCTTGTTTCTCAGAAGGTGGTTCAAGATGATGAGGGATATGACGATGATGATAGTTGCTGTTACTAGTCATTGTGTATTACTGAACCGACGGAGGACAAAGAGCATGTCCTGGGCACCAGAAGCGACAGCATGCCATGCTTGAGGTGAAGATGGAAGGGGTCAGTAGCAAGAGAACGGCAGTTGCTACCGATGTCTCGGGATGTGCAGTTCAAACGATGCAACAAACACCCCCTATTAAAGACGAAAGGTAGTCAACGCCCACAGAGCCCAAGAAAGCAGAAGGAGGCATTACACACTTTTGTGACCTCACAGTGTCGTCGAGATCAGGCTGACTTACAGCCACTGCCTGAAGATGCCTTCGGATGCTGTGGGCAGCATGCAGAACCCGACGAACCTGATGTCCATCGACGCAGACGCCTGTCATCGCGATGTTGCTTCATGATCTCACAAAAAACCGTCTGTACCTTGTAAATTATCTGTGTTCTTCTTCTTCTTTATTATTTGTTTTACGCGTACTAATATTAGTATTACAATATTGATGGGTGGGCGCCTCTGGGCTTTCCAAATAACTTCTGAGACTTGACCGAAGACCCTTGCAAGGTCAAGATGTCCCTGAACCCGTTTTACAGAGTCCAGAGGTAGACTGGTAGTTTGAGTTTGCACATGTTTTGGCGACCAGGTTCAGCTTTCGACGTGTCTCCCTTGTGCCGCATTTCCCTTCACAATTTTTTGTGGGTTCCGAGCCACTGTGCTTGACTTCGGCCTCCGGCATACGGCGTCTCCGCAGGATGTTCTCCTAAACCCTAAGCCCCTAAACTCGAAACGTGCTTGTCTGGAGTCTGGACTGAGGAAAAGCCCCACCAGACCTTCATGAACATGATGCCGCACGCCTTCGTGCTAGCCAGGCCCTCAGAGTCTACTATATAGGGGCCTAGATAATTACTATTACTATTTTGGGGGTTCTGTAATATTTTTGTATTATGTTGGGCCCAAATATCCTATTCCAATTATTCAGGCCCCGACATCATGAGATGAATCTAACCTCGACCCAGGACCCAGAACCTCGGTAGTTGGTCAGACTGCCTTGGACTGTAGTGACTGCGCTTTCTTGTGCCCTGCGCCCGCCTAAGCAGCATGAGCCACGCCTCGCCCGAGTGAGAGCGCAGAAACCCGCCTAAACCCCAGACTTTCCCAACACCCTGATCGGGCCCTAAACACCCTAAGCCGGCCACTGAGACTCCGGTGCTGCCGGCCCTCTTGGTGGTGCAGCTCGGGGTGGCCACGCGTCTGTCCGAAAGCCATCGGCGGGCTTCCGAGTTCAAGGTTTTAGGGTTCGGGGTTGACGGATGTTAAGGTTTGGGGTTTGCCCGGAAAGCTTCGAGGTCGCTGCTTGCTGTAGTAAGCACCATACATGTAGCAAGCACAAGAAGAACACTTTTATGTGAACAGCCTTCAGAGGGAAAGAGGCTCTGGTTTGGGCCTTTCCTGAAACCCTTTAAATCTTGAGCGCACCCTCCCCCGTCTCTCTTGCATCTGTCGCTCACTCTCACCCTTCACTCTCACTTTCCTACGGTATGGTCAGATTCCAGGGGCTCTAAGTCGCCTGCGAGGTTTCAGTGGGGTCGTAACACCAGTCTCCTCCCCCTCACCTGTTGACAATATATCCACACTCTCTCTCTCTCTCTCTTGCCTATGGCTCCAGGCATCCCCCTCATAGAACCCGAACATGCCCCTATAAGCCCGCTAACGGATCACGTCAACCATGGCACTCTTTCTCGAGACTTTGCATGGCTGAGCCGAGGTGCCAGCGGTGGTTTGTGTGGTCACCTCCCTGAGCAACCTGGCAAGCCTTCCATATTCTTTCTGGTATTGTCCTTATTATGTATAACGACACTGTAGTACATGCCAAAACCCAGTGGCAGTTAATTAGAATGCTCCCTTAGCAGGGTGCTCCATGACGGTGGCAATGAGACGGCGCTGATGATTCCTATCCTGCTGGTGGTGATGCAGATGCACGAGGTCATACATCTCCTTAGGGTTCCTTATTGTAATTATACTGTAAAGGAGCCCTAAGCCCTGTTCTATATAATCTTTGAGGCCCCTACCCGAA